CCGGCTATAAAATGCCGGAAACCGTTACTGACAAGTCTTCTTAACTTGTGATGATATTAAAGAACGACCCAAGACCACATTTTTGTGGTGAATGCCGGGGCACAATGATTGTGTTTGAACACTGGTTCACTTCCACTACACCTCTCAATTTCACACACGTTTCAGGGAATCAACAAAGCCTTCAGTGGAATGTGTGTGCGGCTCACGTCAATAACTTTTCCAGTAATTTGGTCGAGTGTATTGATTTCAGTGGCTTAAGTGGCACTACTGTGGGCTGGTCACGTTTTTCCGAATAAATAACACAGAGCTTAAATGTTCGTTTGTCCACTAACGAAAATATCACAAGACATGATGAAATGGTGCCGCCGAGCTTGACATCTCGGTAGATTTACCCTGTGGAATAACGGCCGCCGCCGAGCTTGACTTCTCGGTAGATTTACTTTGTGGAATAACGGCCGCCGCGCTACACAACTCGGTGGATTTACTCTGTGGCACAACAGACGCTGAGCTTCACAACTCGCCAGTAAATTTGCTTTGTGGCACAACGGACGCCGAGCTAAACAACCCGGTTTGATACATGCACCAGGAGTAGCACGCATTTACCAAAAAAAAAAAAAATATGAAGGCTTAATCCAAAGTAAAATTTTACTCAGGGTGTAAACTTTCAGCACACTTTTGAAAGATGAACGCTTCGGAAGATTCATTAAACACAGATCAATAGTAGACCTTCAGCAAACTCTTAAATATGTGCGCTTTGCGAAGATTCAGCACACTTTTAAACTGAGATGAACGATTTACGAAGACAGAATAGCAGACTCAGCAAACGTTTGAAAGATGAACGCCGAGGACACACGAATCACCACTTGAGTTAACGCGTCAAAGTGAGGTAAAACGTAAGCAAGCGCCTCATAATGTGTCGACGTCGACGACGACGACGACGATGAATGCAATTCTCGAAAAAAGTTCCCTTATTAATTGCACAGGAGAGCCAATAATGCACAGAACACCCAACACAAATTAGGGGTTACGTTCTCGCACCTCGAACGCCATAATTACTCAAATTCATTGACAAAGCTTTTCGCACCTTGCCTCACAACTTCTTTTTTGGTGGAAGAACAAATTACTAGGTAATGTCCAATCTCTCTTCTCTTTCGTTTAAAAACGAGAATGCTAACAAAGTAACGAAGTACCACCAGTTTGTTTTGAAGGTTTGTCCCCTACGAGATCCAAATCGGTAGGAATTTGAGGTCCTTGGATTTTTTTCCTCCTGACCTAGTTGGCGGGGCGTGGAATACGGTATTTCCAGAGCCGCGAGCTCTTTCTGGCAAATACCGACGATATAAGCGTGTGTTCATGGAAACTCGCGCCAAATGCACCTTTCAGTCCTTCGACGAGCGTGTCATTTCTCGGCACTTTCTCGAGCTTAAACGTCATTCCTCAAGTTCCTGTATTTCTCTTTGATTTTGGAAACTATGGCTTCTCCTGTAAAATCGTTAAGCTTTAAAAAGGCAGCAGATGGGTCATTTTGCATTCACAAGAAGGTTAAGCGTGGCAATTACAAGAGCGTTGCTGACTTCTGGTTTGAGATCGAGAGTTTTGTCCAGTTCCAGGGTGCACTTAACAAGCATAGTGGATACATCTTTCAAGTCCACAAGACTTTGGGGGAGAACAATGTGTCGAAGTAAGTTGATATTTTCTTTCTATACTTATGGATTATTTATTTTTACCGAAACTTTGGGAAATGTACAATATATCTTTTGACTTGTGAAATTTTGGAGCCGCGTGATGAATTTGGTAATTTAATTAGGTTTTTTTTAATACTAAAACGGGAAATGACATTCTACGAAGTTTATTATGGCCTAAAATAAGCTAATGAACTACAATGGGCTAAAACGAAAAAAAAAATGCAGCTCTGAGAGAAAGAAAGTAAAGAAATTTTCAAGGCAAAGAACCTCTGCATCTACAGTGCTATGATTAAAAAACATACCAGAGTGCACTTTGCACCAATCAAAACCTTGTTGCTGAGCAAAAATGGAAACTCTTCAAACCAATCAAAACTTTGTTGCTGAGCGACTTGAAAATCTTCACTTTGCGCTCTGAACCAATCAAAACATTGTTGCTGGGCAAAAGGTATAAAACTCTTCAAGGTTAATTATGGGCGCTTTCCATTTAGTCAAAATTTCCGGAATTTCCGGTTCGGCGGTAAATGGAACACGTTTCGTCAGTTCGTCCCACTGGAAAATTCCCAGAAAAAGTGGAAAATCTAAAAAGGTGGTCCCGTTTTCCGGTTGGAATTTTCCAACGGAATGTCGTGTTCCATTTACGTTTAACGTAGTTTGTACCAGTTCAGGTCCACGGTCGGGCACCGCCACGTACCGGGGTTTACGACCAAATGGAACAACTTTTACCAATCGGAAATTCCACTTTTGCTACCACCGAAATTTCCGGGTTTTTTCCTAAATGGAAAGCGCCCTATAGCGGTGGCGGGGGGAAGACTTAAGAGCTGCTAAGTTTTACTCAACCAAAAATTCGTGTGTGAAGGCCTAAGTAAAATCTCAAGTAACTTTACTTTGCGGTTGAAACGATTCAAGAAAGTTTCAAGCGACTTGAAAACCATCCTTGACTTGCGGCTACTTGCGGTTTCTTGAGCTTTGAGAAAGGCGAAACTTGTCAATCAATCTTAATTATGTTGCCTAGGAAAATAGCTTTAAGTTAACTTGAAGGTAAAACTTGTCTTGAAATATTTCTAACTAATCTAACTATACCGGCCATATAGCCACAGCGCGAAAAATAGGCTAACTTGGGTACTGAAATGCGAAAAATTAAATTTTAGAAAATCGTAGGGAATTTATTAGATATATTACGAAAATTGTACATGAAAGGAACGGTCATCTAGAAATTTTTAGCCTTCCTCAAGCTATAGAAAATTCTAGGCAATTTTTGCCTCTCCAAACAGATATTTTACAGAAAACAGTCCTTGCGTGCCCCTGATTAAAATTATTTCTGCATTTACGACCACGCGCGTAACAGTAAGTCTTCTGATAGCTGTTATCCTTTGGTCTGTCCTGCAATCGACTAGAAGCGTGTATACAAGGTAATCGATCACACAGAAAATTGATAGTTTCTTTTCGTAATTCTTGTTCTCAAAACTGCTTGATTTTTTTTTTTTTTTAGTTCAAAGCAGGTATATAGACTTAATTGACACGAGGTCACTTTCAAGCAGGTGGAGGTCACGCAAGTGTGGCCTCCCGGAAACTATATTTAATTGTCATAGTGTCCTTAAAAATACACTCTACCATGGCCATCCACTCTCGAAAAATACACTCTTCAAACCCTTACATTTTAAGTAGCCTTTTTCGTCTGACTGACTAGGACCCTGACTGTCAAGCAAACACAAGAAATCCCTTTCAAACAAACACCTTCTCTATCGCTGTATCAGTTTGAATAAAACAACTTGGAAACAATTTCCAAGCACTTACATGATAAGTTTAAATTTCTCCCCCCCTGACATATATCAGGAGCTCGGCGTTTGAGCAATGAGAATGCCCTGTATAGGATTTTGGATGACATTAGCCAATAGGCAATACTAATAAAGATTTAAAATGTCACGATGTAACATTTGTCAAACTTTTATTTTCTAGAAAGTGCTTCATATCATGTCTAGATATGGACTCGGCCAAAAAGTTCAAAAGTTCATTGAACAATGCATTGGCTGATTGTGGAGGTGTCTTCTGGGAAGATGTAAAGGATGTACAACTACAAGGTCTTTTAAAAACTATGACAAGAAACTATTTTTTACAAAATGGAAAAGTACACAAGGCTGTCACGACTGTGGGTAGACAGCCCATTGAAATCTCCATAAAGGACCATCTGCCGGAACAGGACATCTACGTATTCAATGAGTCGGTGCAGGTATCGTCAAAACCTCTTAACCCTTTAAACTCTAAGATCAAAATTTGAAATCTCATTTGTTGCCCCTATTCATTTCCTATAGAAGTAGTGAGGAGAAGTTGATAAAATATCAAACAAATTCATCTTGCGCAATCATGTTTGTAATTCTTATGTCCACTCTGTTTTATAAAGCATTGATATTACAAGGAGAAATTTGATGCTGATCACTCTTAGGGCTTAAAGGGTTAATATTGAGATGATGTGATACAAAAGGACACTTTACCGACTGTAAAATGATTTTCTCCAGTTTAAGGTAGCTATTTCACGTAAAAGTATGTACGACCTTTCACTGTGGTGAAAGAAATGTGGTTGGTCTGTGCCAGCCGTGCTCATAATAGCGGCTAAACCTAGACAGTAATAGCTAAGGTCAGTTAAAATGTGGGATTAAAAGTTCAACTGCTCGGTATAATATTCAGTTGACCATTTCATAACCAGCTTTGTTTTTGTGAAGTCTTCATTATCTATAGTTGATTAAAATGACTTTTAGTCAATGGAATGACCTCTCTAAAAATATTTTGAGAGCACTGAGCACTTTTTGCACTGAACTGGGCTATTAACAGAGAATGGTGTTCTCCTTTCAGATGAATGGGAAAGGACAATTAATCCCAGAGGAGGAAACATTGTATGTCTGGATGGACAGCTATGGTGCTGGACCTAGTGATAATAACGAGTTTAAAGTTCAAATTTCTCCAGTCCTAAATACTTTTAGCTGGACGAAATTTCTAGATGTGGCCCTACCTGTGTTTAATATCAACTTTTATCAATCAGTTATGATGATGGCTGGTGCCATTGCGTGCTTCCATTACCCTTACTCAATTCTGATTGCTGGTAAGTTGTGTATGTTCAAGCTGAGCCATAGCAAAAAAACATTCACGACCACACACTGTACATGCAGGAGTTTTTCAGCTTTCTGCAAACAAAATTTCAATGCACTTGAGAGAAATGTTTCAATGACTTTTGACACACATTGCCAATTACAAGTAACTGGGCTATATGTCACTTCATATTTGTAAATATTTTGTCAATTTCTAGATGCTTGTCCAGCTCCAATGGCCATAGGGGCACCAGGATCAGGAAAGTCTACAACAATTGAAGTAATTTCCAAAATGCTTGGTTGTAAGGTGGAATCTCAAGCAACAGCTGAGGTTATACAGTCTCTCCTTTGGAAGACTACAGTACCATTGTGCTGGGATGATCCCGCATATCCATCCACAGTGAAGGGTGTATTAGCTGGTTCATTCGATTCAAAGGGCAAGCGCACAAAAAGGCAGGGGAAAAGAGGTTCCAGTGACAAATGTTGTGTTGGCAGTTAACTTTGATTTAGATGAGGACTTAAGGTATAATGTATATGTAATGTTTACTTCATAGTCATATAAATTCAGATTCTGATCCTGAAAGAATAATGTCTCCTCCCAGTGATGCCATTGCATGCAAGGGCCTGCTATAGAACTTGTTCCTGAAATGAAGCAGTGATTATAATTTAAGGATTCAGTTAACTAAAATTGTTCTGTGTACATATTTCGGCATCTCTGTCCATGCTTGTAGTAATATTACATTTAAGTTGAAGTTCTGGTATAGTTTCCCGTACTTCTGTGATATTAAATTTCACATCTCACATCTTTTAATATTGTTTTCTATAGATCCTTCGAACGGGTTGTTCCTGTAGTTTACCAGAAACCAGAACCGCCGGAAGACCCGGCGAAGTACAGGCAATCCAAACAAGATCTGAACGAGCTGTGCACGACTGAATGCATCCCATGGGTGATCCAGCTAGCCACTAAGCTGTGCAGCAACACTCATTTGGTTGATAAACAGATAAATTTTTTTCAACATAAAGATCCAGAGCTACCACCAAGACTTCATAAACTTTATGGTCTGTACAAGGCTATTGTACACGAGGTGCGTTTTGCTCGTTGATTCGTACGTACATCTGTGGGACACGTTAAATAACTTTAAAACGTCTTTCTATATAAACACCAATTGTCCATGCCTACAGCCACAAAAAAGGAATAAGAGATTGAGATGAGACGCCATTTCATTATACACTGCCGAAACAATTCTGTACAATTGCAGTACTGTTGGCGTAAATCCTTACAGTGACAGCGACATTATCCCCAATTCTTTATCTTGATTATCCCATTCGCCCCTGGGAAATTTGCCGAAGAAGGCCTTTTGAAGATAGTCGAGCCGTTTTATGGTCATCTAGTCAAGAACAACCAAAACTGCCTAAAATGCTGCTTCATGTAACATGTAGCCTTACGCACATTCTCGTCCCCAGAGCCACTTGGCTTAATTTGTAAAAGACCACGTGACCAAGAAACGACGGGCTCTGGGGATGAGAATGCCCTAGGCATGTCAGCTACCGAATCTCGTCATGCGCAGAATACGCTGTCTCTCCTCTATCTTTTTCTTCTGCTTGGCATTTGAAACGTTAGGATGGTAGGATAAGATAGAATTGCAGTTGGGTAGTGCATGAGACAAGATTTTCAAAGGAATTTTCGGGTGAATTTTAGGTGTTTTTCTACCCCACTAACATGCAAAAAAGCATAAAAGCATACCAAATATGAACGTTCCCTCAGAAAAAAAGTAACAAACTTAGTCATTTTTCATCTTTTGTTTGTTCGTTCTCTGTCTTTCTTTTTCAGTTTTCTTTTCTTTTCTTTTCTTTCTTTCTTTCTTTCTTTCTTTTTTTTTTTTTTTTTTTTTGGGGGGGGGGGGGGGGTCATCTCAATTAATTTGAAATAGAAGGGGAGCTGCCCAAAGATTTCTTATGAAGAGGGGGAAGCATCACATTCTACAGGCAGGAGCTACCTGCCGAATCCCATCAGCACCCCCCTCCCCCATAAAAGGTCCCTAAAACATGCGTTCTCAAAATGTGGTCGTTCAAAACTGATGACGTCACAACGGGTAAAAAAGACGTACATCCGCACGGGTGGTTACGGGTTTGATGCGACAGAGAAACCCGAAAACTAGACAAGATGTTATACTTCAAAAAGTGCGTTGTGAGATATGTTATCAATAAACTAGACACCATGATGGATTAAAAGTATACAATAACTTGGCAGCAAAATAGAACTATGGATCGGTGGGGATCTGGTTCTGGCGTCAGAATTTCTGTAGAAGTTGTATTTTTTACAAGTTTATGGTTTTCAAAATCGTTGATAATTAGACTTTAAATCTTGCGCCAAAAACTAGAAAAATCCATCCACGTTTGGACAGAAAACCACCTAATCTGCCTGTCAAATACCAAATAGGGCCAAAAAGACGGCAGAAGACCAATTTTAGCATTTTTGATTAACACTTATAGTAATCAATGTGTCTTTTGCTATTGTTTTAGATTATAGAAAGCTATGGTGCAGGTGAAGATGAAAGTAATAACAGTTCGATTTCAGCGGAGGAGTTTGAAAATTACCTGGACAACATGTTTCTACCATATGTAAGGAACATAGTCCAAACGGGTGGTTGTTGTGACGTGGCTGCCCAGGATTCAAGCTTTCAAGACTTCTGTGAATGTCTCCACAAAACATTACAAGTCACGAAGAATATTGAGGTATTCCCAAACGTTAAAGTAAATACATAGCCAGAGTACTCTCTTTCAGTGTTTATTTTGCCAAAATAATATATAATTGGACCCAAATCATACTGTCTGAAACTACTCATGTAAAGCAGTAACATATATACCTGTAATAGTTTGGGATGTGAAAATGTATATCAAGTTAAAGTCCGAATACTACATTATAACTACATTATTTCGGCGTTAAAATAGTTTTCCACCACAAGCTTATCTTAAGCTTGATCAAAGACCGGACCCGGGAGACGGCGGAAATGCAGGCTAGTTTTGAATGGCATTGTAGTTGTTGTTGTTGTTGTTTTTTTTTTTTACAGGAACTGAGGAAATTCGTAAAACATGACGTCAAGTCTCGTGACGGACAGTGTCTACACATCATATTACCAGAGGTGTTAACGTTTATCAAACAGCGTTTGGGGCCAAAAGGAACATTTAACCTCACAAAGTTGAGACGACAAATCAGTGAAATGCCTGGCACTTCGGTGGATCATTCTGGTAGTTTTGGTGGCACGCAAAGACGGTGTGTAAAGATCCCAAGGGTTCTGGTGCCAAACAACACCCTCGAGCTTGTTGATGAAGGTATATAGCAATGCTGCAATAAGAAAAATTTATCAAAACCAATTTTTTATTTACAAAATTGTTGTTAAAAGGATAAGTTAAGATAGGCCTGATTTTCTTTCTTCATCTTTTATAAAGCATTTCTTGCCGATAAAGAAGAAAAGCCTGAGGACAGCGCTGCAAGGGAAGAACATGACGGACAGGAATTAGAACGTCTTGGAAAGAAATTAGATGCTGTTCAGCAACATAGTACAAAGCTAATGGAAGAAAAGAAAGTGTTAGAAGAAACCCTTCATAGAGAAAAGCTAAAATGCGCCGCTACTGAACAAGCGATGAAGGATTTGGAGCAAAAATTCGCTGACAAAGAAAGAAATTGGAAGGTTGTAGAAGAAGAGCTACGAGGGACCATCTTTGAGCTGCAGCAGCAGCTAAGGAAGCAAACATGTGAAGAGAAAGCTGTTAAAACTCCCGCAGCCGAAGCATTTTCGCGGATGTTGTCTACCTCAGAAGGTAAATCGGAATTATTATGTATTACCCGGTTGAAACTTGCATTGACAAGCGCCCTCTATTTCAGCCAGAAAGATGGAACATGTCAATTCACATTTTCGTTCATAACAGCACGATGCATAATGACAGGAGGACATTCCTCTCCGCCGTATGTTAATAGGAAAAATAAGTTTACTGTGGTACTGCAAGCTACGAAAATATGTACATTTATTTTACTTCTTTTCACAAAGCTGATGATCTTATTCGTATGAGCCGCCATCAAGTGACACAATACCATATACAACATCCCTTTTGAAATTGTGATCGGCTAACACTTATCTATTCAAAATTACAGAAAGAAAAAGAAAGAACGAAGTCGACCACCTGTTGGACAAGCTACATGGTGGCATTATCAAAGGTATGACGAAGCCTCTGTATAACCCAAAGGCATAGCGTGAACCCTCCCCACTTTAAGGTTGCTGTATCAGACCGCATTGTAATTTCATCTCCTTTTTGCGCATTGTTTATCACTTTTTCATAATTTTAAGCTTAAGTCATTAGCTTGACATCTTGACATGTACTTTACATTAACACAGGGACAGAAACCACAATGATATAATTTATTTATCCATTTTCAGGCAAACGATCGCGCAAGTAGATCCAAGTACATCGGTTGCGTTAGCGACGTTGGGTGGTTTTGGGTAGTGGGTCTAAGGCCTCAGGATATCCTGGTTTCCGGTACGGGTAAGATCACCAGTGGCGGTACCCGCTACTCTGAGGAACGGTACACCGGTTACACTGTGACTGAAAAGGCTGAAACAATTAAACCTTGTAAGGCTAAGCTTTCCTTACTATGTAATAACTGACTTAGTTTAGTTGTAGTTATATTCTTTCCACGCTCGTTTTACGCACAAAACATTCCAGCAAAGACATAAACTCAAGGTGTATTACTGAAACTTGTAGACAATTATAGCTATAGACATGAGTGTTTTTTATAATTTTGTTAAAAACACTATTTTTTTGCGCACGGAAGTTAATATTGACAGCAAAACTCTCCTCGGTTAAGCAGTTCTACAAGTCAGATAATTTGATTTTCTTGACAGATAAAGCAAATAGATTGCAGCAATAGGTCACCCGTTTAGCCATGTCCAGTTATAACCTGTGGACCATCGCGAATAAACGGGTATTCTTCACTTGTTTTTGGTAATGACGTCGTCATACAATGAATTCAAAATGGCGCTACTGATACCCGTAGACAAAAACCGGGATATCTTCAGGTGCCTATCATCTTGGTACCAAAAACCAGGGTATGATAAGGTTCCCATTCTCTAACATAACTAAAGGCTGATAAATCTTTTCAAGGTACAGTAAAAACCCGCGTATGAGAACGTAGACTTTTCCAGTTAATTAGCCTAATTGATAGGGGCACTAGCGATCAGGTCAGATAACTACTACAGGGCATATGTCAGTGATATGGAATATATTGCTGTATTAATTAATTTCTAGAATACAGTTTACATTTTGTGATGAACAGGCAGTAAATCAGTGTCCAATCATGCAGGTGTGAAATGTATAGCCCTCAAGCGCTTGGGGTTTGATGCGATCATCATGCATCTGACCCTTCATTTTGTAAAATTAGAGCCTATTGAAAATTTTAGACTAAATAGGTTGTTATGAAAAGGGGGTTTAACATGAAAATTTTAGCCTAACAGGTTCTTAACCTTTATGCTCCTTTAAGCCGGTTTTTACTTTACATCATACTGAAATGTAGTTTAATTGAGTTTTACATTTGTTGATGACTTTACTAGTTATTGGTGGTCTTTTCATACTTCGACGACAGGCAAGGTTTTGGTACACAGGGTTCGTACAGTCTTGAATCTGCGAAGCACTTTTCCAGACTTGGAAAAAAGTCTGTAGAGATGAAATGCGTTTTTTTCTAAATTTAATCTTGTCTGTAACCAAAACATTCCTATTTCAAAGAATGAAAAGTTTCAGAATTTTCTTATGTCCGCAATTGCCGTCACTGTGGTTACTGCATGTCTGCAGTGTATCATGCGAAATGCGTGGATCCTACGTTTGTCGAGGTTCAGTCTACCGATCCCCTATTAGATAACTTTGAGTCTGGAGAGGGAAATTATTGTTTTGGAAAAACATCGGGAATAATTCGTGACTTTTGGATCCAAAACCCTGTAGGAACCCTGAGTACGGGTTTATTTTAGCATCAGTTAAAGTATCCCTAACTTCGTTCAAACCACTTTTTAGCACATTTGGGTACAACTGGCTGTCTGCCAGTGCTGTAACAAAACTGTGAGTATGCGTTTCGCCTCTTAACCATTCTGTGAAAAAAGAACATATGGTGGACGTAGGGCAAAGCCACCATAATTCTTTTTAGCCTGCTGGCCCAAACATTGACTTGTTCGGCTGCCATTGTGTTGAAGGACTTCGATAGTATATGATCAGGATCATAATTAACTTTGCATGACGGATCTTTGTGATTTTTCAAGTGCAGCCGATCAATGACTTTTTCAACAGTCGTCCACATCTTGTTGAATGGGGGTGGGAGAGGTAAATCTTTTTTGGCGGCACGAAGGGAATCAAGATGACACATGTTATCATATGCCAATACAGTCTCTTCCATGGCCTTCAGTACTTCTTGGTCACTCTTTCCACTTTCCTTCATTTGTTTAAATTTATTGTACATCCAAACAATGGTTATAAGAAATGCTTGTGATGGTGACTCGGACCTGTAGAACAAAAGTATCTGTTCCAGTCAAATACATTTCAGTAACTTTTAAGGGTCAGATATTTCTTAAACGTTAACGTACAACATACTTTTCTAAACGTTTTGTTTATGTAGTAAACGTGTAGTTGTTTAATAATAATTGTTATTTACTCTACTTTAGCGAACGGTCACTTGACTCATATGTAATGTTGATCCTTAACCAAGATGCCAAATCCTTAATAAGTAAATGCTTCTATTGGAAATGGTCAACAGTAAGCCATTAAAAATACCGTTGAATTTCATGGGATGTGAATTCTTTGCTTATTTATTTTATCCCTCAAACTGTTTCTCCTTATTTCTTAATTTTTTGCCTAACTGGTTTGAAAAGAGCACTTTCCACCTCGCAGGAAAAGGTAATTAAAAAAAATTGCTAAGTGCAACCCCTTATCAAAATACAGCACAGCGAAGAAAGCTTGCAAAAATATCAACCATTGGAATTCCGTGGAATTTTGCTTAGTCAGTTAGGTATTTGTATGCCGTTACTTGTAAAAACCTACTGATGTTCACATTCTTACTTGTATAATGGCTGCCAAAAGTCTATGTGCCCACCAGCTGTGGCTATCAGAAAAATTCCTCTTGACCACTTCTGGAGACGCCTCTTACCGACGGTGTCCTTATTACATTGCACCGGAACCTCTTCTTCGCAATCTTTCAGCAGTGTCATATTTGCAGCCATGAATGATCTGGTACCTTAAACCAATAATGTGACAACATATAGAGTAGTTTTCAATAATAATAATAATAATAATAATAATAATAATAATAATAATAATAATAACAATAATATTATTATTATTAAGTGTCTCTTTAATTTAACACCGGTAACTACTATTATTGTTGTCTACTGCAACACGAAAACAGCGCATCGATCGATCCAGAATTTGACTAAGTGACTGGTAGTTTGTTTTAACACATAACCCGTCAATAAATTTGCGCGAAATTTGCTAATCAATCAAAATGTAGCAAAGCGAGCAAGCGAAAAACGTCTTCTCGCAATCAATTGAAAGGTACTTTTTTTTAGACTGGGCTATCTTTGTGACATTATTTGTGATGAACCCACATATAACGTACACACTCAGGAAAAACTGTTTGAATGCAGAGGTCCACGCGACGCGTAAATATAACTGACCGGTTCCTCTTGCCGGATCTCTAAAAAAAGAGTTGCAGTAGCCAGACGTCACTTGAAGTGTGAAATAAAACAAAAGTCAATGTAGGGCTGGCACTACGGCAAAGGGCTGAGTTATTATAGGCCAATATTTCGGCTAACAAAATTAGCCTTCCTCAGGGCCAGAACTATACCGAGAGAAAATATCTTTTAACGGCTCTTAAAATTTAAATTTAAAATTCACATAAGTGGTTAATAATGAACTACACACACAGTTGTGTAGTCCCTAAGTCCCATTATTCCGCGCGGTCAAGTCACATAAATTGACCACGAGGGACTGGGAAAACACTGTACACACACAACCAAATTATCCGTGGTTATAGTGAATCGCTTACTACGAGAAAAACACTAGACTTGTACGTGCTAAAAAGGCGTCCGCGGTTGTAATACTTCCCTAAACATTAAACCTCATGTACACACCTTGGTATACGGCTGCATTTTCTGTTAATTCGGAAACACTGTGACCAGGGCTTTCAATATCTTTCAGTACATTTTCAGGGTCTGTAAAATGTAAATGTAATATAATGTAATTTTAATCTCCTAGAAAAATAAGTTCTATCAAAATGTCTTTTTGAACACTTCATCTTCATGTTACTGTATGAAACACGTGCTTCTTCTCAGTAGTAATACGATTCGCGCTTTCCGCTTGTGAAGCTTCACAAATGACACTAACTTACGTGACGTGGATGCGGGCGGAAAGGCGCTCAGTCGCGTGGCAGGAGGGATAGATCACCGGCAACGGAGCAACGCAACCGTCAACTTCATCATCATCATCAGTCAATGCACTTTTATATTAAAATGGTTTCATTTAGCTATCGATGTCTAAAGGCGACATTACGGTCACTGAGACCATCCACAACATTGTCCAATAGGACCAATAGGTACTTGTTGTTGCTTGTCAAGTTACAATAGTGGTATTTTTTTGTTTTTGACCTTGAAAGAAGGGGAAATTCAGTTACCTTGTTTTTTATTCCTGCAGTAATCCAGAAACGTTCTTAATTCAGTTGGTATTCCTTTCTGCTTTACAACCTGACAATGTCTATCGCAGAACGCAGACTGGTACTCTGGACTTCTTGGGCAGATATTTGGGTAGTTGATTTCGGTTTCGTAACCTGGTATGCTTATCGAGACTGGGAACATACAGTGTGCATAACATAACTTCCAGTTTCCATCTAGAACATACAGCTTTCCACATCCTAAGGTAAAGTGAATAGAAAAGGGCATCCGTGCATGCAGATATCAGTTTATTGGTGTTAAGAGGTCTACTTGAGAAAGGATTTCTAGGGCACAAAACTCTAATGTGATTCCTTAGTTATGGATATGTCAAAAGTATTTGGGGCAGTGGCAGATTTATATCTTCAAGAAAGTGAGGGGTCCTGCTTATCCAGACCCTAAGATAAGAGAGGGTGCAGCCTTTAAATTATTGTTGTAGGCCCCGTAGGCTTCAGTTTTGTCTAAAAATAAGGTGGTGTCTCTCTCCGTAGATGTGCCACTGTGGGCATGATGAAGTGTATTTCCAACAAAATGGTGGTTCTTTAGTTAAAAAGTAACATGGAAAATGACATAGGCAAAAGTGTGCCTTGATGCAGCCAAATACAATGATTAATAGATAATTTATAATGACGGTACCGATGGTAATTATTTATATCTGTCTATCTGATTTCGTTAAAACTTGTCTGCTATATTTTTGCTTCGAGCTGGACATAGCCCAGCTCCAAGCCAGCTGTTGTCAAAAAAATTGCCATTGCCAGGCAGCACCATTTAAGTGTAAGGTTTGTGCAGCGCTTGAAAGGGCTTTTCCTCTTGTCTGGCCTAGGCTAGATCAATCTGGCCACTGCTGATAATAGTCATCATAATAATGATTGAAAAAATGTTCACCTTTGTTCTTACATCCTTCATGGCATTCATGACTATACATT